ACTCCACTCCCCTTTCGCTCCTCTTTTATTTCCTCTAGGAGGGGCCATGCATCGTCTCGCCTTACTCCCAAGTCGACCCCTGTTCTTTAGTTGTTCCCTTCGTCTGGCAATTCTGTGCACGTTGGGAACAGGCTCCAGCTGTTCTTCTGCCTCACTGATGTCTGACTCTGAAGGTAGCTGATGGCTGCTGGCATATGGCTCAAGGCCCCATCTCTGCCTCCGGCACAGAGCCTTCATCAGTGCCTTCCCCAGACTCCAGGACTGGCCCATGTTCCTCCCCAACCTCCTCACTGTCCAGATCTGCTGGCCACTGGTGGGCCACAACAAATCTTAAGCTCTCATTCATTAAGCTCCCATTCATTGATCACCTTTTCCCACCCAAACAGGTGAACTCAGGATTATCAGAAATGGAGAAATGGAAGTGCTGAGAATGACTTCCCTAAGGCCATGGAAGCATTTCCAAGACCCAAAACCCGTCCAAACGTTGGCAGCAGATTCAGGAAAGGATACAACTATGCAAATCCAGTTAAACAGCAGCATGAACATGTAGTCGGCCGGCCTTCCATCGAAAGCACCTGAGAACAAAGAATGGCATTGCTGTGAGCGTAATCCCTGGCAGTTGTTTTTTCTCCCTTTCCCCCAAGGGGCTGTGGGAGCGTCCAGAAGGCTGTGATTAAATCGCGGGATGCAAGTGCAACTTTTGCTATGAGGAGGAAACAAGAGACTGCTCTGCTAGGTGAGGGCAATTTATGGGAAAGCGTTATATGAAAGGCCAGTTTTTGTAGGAAAATCCAAATTACTCGTCTCTGCCCACAATACGAATTCTAGCTTTGGAGCCTTTTTTTCATTTTCAAACAAATATTATACAGAATTCTAGCATTGGATTAATTTTTTGGTTTTCCCACAAATGTTGCCCAAAATTAACATACTACAGGTAGTCCTTGACTGACGTCTACAACTAAGCTCAACATTTCTATTGTGAAGCGAGAAAGTTGTTAAATATTTTGCCCCGTTTTATCACCTTTCGTTCCAGAGTTGTTAAGGGAATCCCTGCCATTGTTAAGTTAGTAACATGGTTGCTGTGTCAGCGTTCCAAGTAACGCACCCATAGAAAGCAGAACTCTGAGGCAGGTAGGGTCCTCAAAGAACATGTTTATTGGATACATTATATTGGCACAGCTAGTGAAAACCAACTCTAAATGTCCCCTCAGTTTTCACCTACTGTAATTAAAAGCGTAAAACCTCCCCGCTCTCCGGTGTCACCAGTCACATTGTCCAATGAATATAGCTGGCAGGCTCCTCTCCTCCTTCACCAGCCACCTCTTATGACCTTGGTTCCCACAGGAAAACTTCTTATTTTGACTGTTAGCTGGGTTATCTACTCCCCCTCCTCCCTTCCCTCTCTCAGGCTTCGTGACAACTATGAGGCAGCAGCAAAGATGGATTCGGCCAGGTTCGTTTCAGAGTTGACATGCTGAGTGAATCTGGCTTCTCCTTTGACGTTACTTGTCAGAAAGTCGCAAAAGGTGATCACGCGACTCGAGACACTGCAACTGTCATAAATATGAACCAGTTGCCAAACAGCCACACTTGTATCACGTGGCCATGGAGATGCTTCTGAGATCGTGTGAAAATCAGTCATGTCACTTTTTTTCCAGTGCCGTTGTAACTTCAAACAGTCACTGAATGGATTGTTGTAAGTCAAGGACTAACTGTACAAGATTCATAATATAATCAACATCATAAACTCTATAGCTCCTGCAGCATAATCTGAGTTTGAGAAATGTGTTATATAATTCTTTGTTTGCAAAGCTCCATCTGTTAAGGCTGCAATTCTTACACAATTATTGCAATTGGGAATAACTGGTTATGCTAGAACTTGTTTCTAAATAAACCACATAAGAACAATCCCAGAGTATTTAAAAGGCAACTCTTAACTGGTTGGGTTCAGTAGATTTCATTTATTATAAGGAGGAGAACAGAGAGCAATTTTTGTGATCGTTGCATTTGAAAGGCACTTGTACTTAGTAACCAAGCATATCATAAATTATCGTATTACATCCAAGGAAAATGGCCTGCATGCATTTTTAATTTATTAAGTTCTACATGATGGGAAATAAGCAATTAAGACAATTGCCAAATTAAAAATACAATTAACAAGATTTTTAAATCTTTCAAACCCTTTCACTTTTGTCAAACATTTAGCAATTGCCTGAGACTAGAAATTTTTTTTCTCCTAAAACAAATTCACAAAGTTTTCTTTACCGGGAATTATCAGGATGAAACAACACAATGACATAAGAATTCCAGCAAGTGAACTAATTTGAAATATACATCAATGTTTACAAAACAGCAGAGATGTTTTTTTAATTTATTCACAGCCTTACTGTGTGCTGGAGGGAGAGTTTCACTTTCACTGATAAGGGGGGAAATCTGCCTCTGACTATTTACATGACAGATGTTTTAATCTTTTGGATAGTTTCCCTGAGGTCTTCCTAGCCTTGTAGAGGGAACTCTAAATATTCAAGGGATTCCCAAGCTAAGGTCACCGATTGCAGCTGCTAGCTTTTTGCCTCAGCTTACAAAACTTTTTATACACCGTTTCATCTACTTTGTTCTAATATATGCATTTTTTTTCCTAATACGCTCAACTGCCCAAAGACAGTTTTAGACATTTATGTACATTCCTATAGGTCCATATGGAGTATAAATTAAATACCCCGACTTAAAAAATATAAACTGACAATTTTTTCTACCATCCCCAAAGGTAAAAAAAGAATTGAACATTACAATGGTAAAAAGGTAAAGGAAAAAGTCCCCCTGCACATATGTGCTAGTCGTTCCCAACTCTAGGGGGTGGTGCTTATCTCTGTTTCAAAGCCGAAGAGCCAGCGCTGTCCGAAGATGTCTTTGTGGTCATGTGGCTGGCATGACTAAGTGCCAAAGGCACACAGAACGCTGTTACCTTCCCACCAAAGGTGGTTCCTATTTTTCTACTTGCATTTTTACATGCTTTCGAACTGCTAGGTTGGCAGAAGCTGGGACAAGTAATGGGAGCTCACTCCATTACGCAGCACTAGGGATTCAAACCGCTGACCTCTCTGATCAACAAGCTCAGGCACTGAGCCACCATGTCCCTTTATGGGTAATATAATTACTGTGTTATATTATATTATAAATTATATTACTTCTATGGGTGATATAATTACTCTATGGGTAATATGATATAATGGTGCGAGTGTATATTTACCTGTTTCCAGACGTGATGAATACTGATACAAAAAATAGAGATTCACCAAATATAGAAAGCCTGTCCCTGGGCCAACAGGGAAATAAAATGTGGCAGTTATTGGCCTCCAAATCTGTTCAGACAAAAACAGCAGATATGTAAATTACTATTATTGAAGAATTTGTTTAAACAATACCAAAGTTACTTGCATCAGGCAGCATCAGTTATTGGTAAGATAGTATTGTACTACATACTAACAGAATGAGATGTATGATTATCTGATTGGGGGTGGAAAGCTCCCAGCCCACCATCCCATTGAGTCCCCATCAGTGTTAGTCTGGATTCAACAGTACTGAAGAGAATCTATTGAGCCAAAATTCAATGCATTACTGCAGGGATATGCAACCTTGACCACTTTAAGACTTGTGGACATCAACTCTCAAGATTCTGGAGAACCCTGCTGGGGAATCCTGGGAGTTGAAGTCCACAAGTCTTAAAGTTGCCAAAGTTGGACACCCTTGCTTGACTGGGAAAGGACTAAAAGAACTTTGATTCATAAACTCTCTTTTCTGTCTCCTGGTATAGTTGTAAGAACAATTTCAGAAGGGTTTTTTTTCCACCAACCAAAAAACCATCCCTTATGCAACACACAAAAGTGAAGACAGTGGCAGATATTACTCTAGCCCTACAAGAAAATATTATCAAGCTTCAATAAAAGGTCATAATTGGGGGGGGGGGGAGGGAGGGTTCTCTCAAAGTGATTTAATAAGATTTGGACATGCTGTCCAGCGGTGGGTTTCACGAAATTTTACCACCGATTCGCCACACACACACCTTCCACGCATGCACCCGGCCTTCCACGCGTGCACTTTGCTTGTGCACATGCCTTCTGCGCATGCAACTGGCCTAAAAAATGTGATTAAATAGGATGGCATAGCGCTGGTAGCAATCTCTGCTACCCCGGTCGTCCGAACTGGCTGAATACCACCTCTGAGGCTATCTGGTCATAAAATGATGGAAAACAGAAAAGGATTCTCTTGGAAGAGACAACGGATGGTTGAAAGCACAGAGGACATCCCAAACATTCAACATTTGCAGGTTACACTATCACAAATGATTTGAACGGATGGTTGCCTGTGGAGTATACAGATCTATATACTCTACTGTACGACAGTATATACAGAAGCACAGGCAACATCCGAGACTTCACTTAGAGTTCATAGATATATGATAAATGGATGGTTGCTTTCTGCATGCTGTTTACTATGATTGCCATCCACTGCATGTTACATATGAACCTGAGCACCTGTTATAGGGACTTTCCTGCCTGTCACATGTTAAGAATAGCCCAGCTAACCAAGCAAATGGCAGCCACTACATAAATAGCCTTCCTGCAAGAGGCAAACCACGTTTTCATTTGGACTCAGCATATCCCCTAACACAGCATAACCCTTGGATGCACTGGAGGATAATGTTCCTTGTCCAAAGCCAATATGGACAATGGCTGCACCAGCAGAGGTTGAGCTACAGTCAAGCATGTTTAGAAGGCATCCTATCAAGTAAGAGCATGTCATAAAACATTTAGCTCCCTATCTAGATAATTGCTGCATGATATAGTTACCTCAATTTTATGTGTTTGTATTCTCAATACAAAAGCAAAGGACAATATACCCGCAATCTAGGTGTCAAAATTACTGCATGTCTCTCAAAATAAAATTTCTGCAAAGAAGGACATTTCTCCTCCAATCTTTGAGAAATATAGTCTTGCATTGAACAACCCATCATCACTATATTGCATTCCTCTGAGGTTGCATTAAAATGCAAAGGAATTGGCAGTCAAAAATGCTGAAAACTACCTTCTATGCTCCAGCCCCTGCTTTTCTTAGCATACCAACCCAGGTGGCAATGGGAAGAGACTGATAGAAAATCAGATAGAAAACTGATTTATCACACAACTTTGATTCTTATCGTATTTTCCATATCTTCATAAAAAGGGAACATTCATTCATAGGAAGCACTTTTATTATCCTACAGAGAACATATGTAGCTCAAGATTGAAGCAGTGGCCTAAAATTATTTAGACAGCTGATGAAATGTCTGTAAATGAAAAACCAAGTTTAGAGAATTTGAACAACCGAACGTTTTTATTATCTATTTTTCTACACCCGGTGTTCCATGTCTAATTGCAAGGAATAATTGGGGGGGGGGAAGCAATTCTGAATAGCTAAGCATATTAAACATCTTCCTAAAAAACTCATTTTGTTCAGCTAAAACAAATATTGAACAAAAGAATCAAATCTTTCACAACAGTGATTTAAATAACTCTGGCCTCCTCAAAAAAGAGAGAGAGAGAGAGAGACTAACCAACCACTTTCAACTTAAATTACTCCACATTTTTTTCACTATAATGGTGCCTATCAAAATGCCAGAAACCCCTCTGGATGTTAATGATTATTTATATTCTTGGCATTAAAAATATAACTCTGCAACAAGACAAAAGGCAAGAGTGAATTCTGTTACCAAGATAAATCAAGCAACTCAATTGATCTCTCATGCTATTTATTTATTCATTCTATATTCCTTCCTATTTCAGGTCATTTGTCTTTTGTTAGCAATGGCTGGAAAGTAAAGCAGCTCAACTGTTTCCATGATTACTGAAAAAGGAAACACCTCCCACACTTCCAGTGTCAAAAAAGGCCTTGTTTTGTTCCATGAGTGACGACACATACTTTTTCACACTTATCTTACCAAAGTGAAACAAGGATGATTGAAAAAAGAAGAAAAATGAACATCTCAAGGAACTGGCTTTCAGCAGCCAATACAAATTAGTAATTGTATGAGTTTGTTTGGTAAGTTTAGCATTTGCCCAGCATTAGTTACAAGTTTTCTCAGACCACTGCTATGCGCCTCTCCCTGCTGAGAGCATGTATTTCCCATTATGCAAATTTTGCCACTTTCAATTTTAGAGCTAATTTACAAAGCAGTTCACTTTTGATCAGTTTTCAACTCTTATGCAAAACTCACTCGGTGACAGGATTTACACACCTTGTTCAGCCAAGAGCATGCAAGTAAACTGCTATGGCTTGGAATGACCCCTGTTAACCTTCTGACCGGAGTGGCATCCATCCAAAGCAAAGCACATTGGGGGTGGCCAGTATTTGGATGGAAAGCCACAATGCAAACTCCACAATCACACATATGTACATATATACATACATACATATAGCAATTTCATTTTCACAATAAATACACAGGAAACTGAATCTCACTGGTGTACCCTAGATCAGTGTTTCTCAACCTTGGCAACTTGAAGATGTCTGGACTTCAACTCCCAGAATTCCCCAGCCAGCATTCGAATGCTGGCTGGGGAATTCTGGGAGTTGAAGTCCGGACATCTTCAAGTTGCCAAGGTTGGGAAACACTGCCCTAGATCAGGGGTCTCCAATCTTGGCAACTTTAAGACTGACAGGCTTCAACTCCCAGAATTCCCCAGCCAACAAAAATTCTGGGAGTTGAAGCCCACCAGGCCTAAAGTTGCCAAGAGACCCCCGTCCTAGATGTTATCTACTAATTTTCCATATTGGTTCAAATTAACCCTAACCAGAATCTCAGGCTTGGGCAACATTAAACAAAGACCTAGCTCTCTGGAGTAATCTCTGATCCTGGGGAAAGTAGTAGTAGGAAAGAAGAGGGTGACCAGCAGGCAGATTGGATGGACTTAGTTACTACACCATTAGAAGACCTGAGAAAGCATGTTAGGGACCATCATCATGGTGAAAAATCTATGCAGTCATCAGAAGTTGAAAATGACTTAATGCGCCCCCAGTCAATCACTTTCTAAAAGGTACTTTTTAAAAGACTCTCTATCACACCAAACAAGCATCCCTTGCTTAGGTAAGCCCCATTCAATTTCCTACAAGGAAAAAAAAAAGTTTTGTTTTATAAATGTCCAGTGACGATGCCTCCCAGCCAAATAACTAATGCACATCCACCATAGCTAAAAAAAAGTACACAAGGCTGGAGTGGCATCTCCCTACTTTCAATAAACGGACTACCATTCCCAACACACCCAGCGCAGCATTCGCTTCTAAGGGCTATAGGCAAGAAGCGCGCCGTGCATGCCGGGAGCCGTAGTCCAGCTCTACCTACCTGGAAGCGGTTGATGAAGGCTTCGGGCCACAGGAAGAGGTAAACGGGGCTGATCAGGCCTAGCTTGCCGAAGAGGGGCACCGCGACGGCAGCTGCAAACCAGTAGCGGGTAATAAGCGGGATGCTCCGGAACCAGTCCCCGAGGTCCGACATCTCCCCTTCGCCAACTGGTGACTGGACACCGGGCCTCGTGCTCCTCGTTCCCGCCGGTTGCTTCTTTTCTCAGCCAAAGACCTGAGCGTCGAGAGGGGCTGAGCGCTGCCGGTGGGTGGGGCCCGCCTTCTTCCGACGTGGCCACACCGAATTCGGCCAAACGGCTACTTCCGGTTTCCGCCTTCCGTTTGCTAAGCAACGGAACAAAAATAAAGGAGGGGCAAAGTAGCGTCGCCGGAAGTTTCACTCTTAAAGGGACCGGCCACTTTTCAAACCCTCGTTCTCTGTACAATTAGAATTAAAATAGAGCTGGAAGGGACCTTGGAGGTCTTCTAGTCCAGCCCCCTGCTCCTGCAGGAGAACCTATACAATCTCAAACAAGTGACTGTCCGGTCTCTTCTTAAAAACCTCCAGTGATGGAGGCGGTTCTCCACTTACAACAGTTCCCTTAATGACCAAGTTCAGCTTTCCTACAGAAATTGTAGGCCCTCCATCACTGGAGGTCTTAAATTGTAAAGTACCAGAGATATAAAGCGTCATGCTATCTAAACAGGTTTCATTGGCATATCATATTTATATGGTTGCTCGTGATGGGCAACCATATAAATATGATAAATATTGTTAGATAGTTAAAATTAAATTTTATGCTGTATCAATAACCACTTAAAATGGACCAAGATATAAAAGTGGACCAAGATAACTATTCCAAAAGTGATAGAAGGAGAAAAGAAAAGAAAAAAAATGTTCTTCTTGAATTAGTAAACGGAAGGTAGGGTATATGCCAGAAAAATGGAATAAAATACTAAAGTGCTTTGAAATTTATGTTGCGTGCAACCTTTTCAATAAATAACCAAAAGACCAGAAAATGACTCAAATCACTTCACATCCTGTTTGCCATTGCCATTCCTAATGGTTAGATCAAATGAAAGATACCTCGTGTATTAAAACAAAGCAATAAAAGTGCTTAATTTCAATCCATCAAGGGGATATCGGACTTAACATCTATCAACCTAAGCAATGAACTTATCAGTCCACTCAACCAAAATGAGAAGCAAAGAAAAAAAAATTGCAAAGTGAAAGTTAGAAATTAATAGCAGATGTCATACAAACTGACTGACAGGGATGATTCCAGGATGCTCCTGTATCAAACCTGAGTATATAAGCTGCCAAAGATTCCAGTTTTCGCAGCAAAGCCAGCTGTCTGATGGGGAAGCAAAAACAAAGTCACTGCTGAATTAAGGGTCTGTAGATATTCTCAGTCATCCAGGTCATGGTTGTCCCAAAAGTGCTTTTTCAGGAAGCAACTGGACTTCCTTGTTTTTTTTTCTTTTGAAGGCATTTCACTTCTCATCCAAGAAGCTTTTTCAGCTCTGACAGGATAGTGGGGAATGGAAGGATTTATATTCCTTGCAGACAGCTGGTATTTGCATCCTTTTAGAGGGTCGTTGAAGCACTTTGAAGTTTATCTGTGCCCTCAGAGTAGGGCTCAGAGTGGGGCTCCTGGTTCCTGTAGTCTACAATTTTTCCTCTGGACCCATTAGATCTCACAGGGTTGGCCTCCTCCGGGTGCCATCTACCAGCCAATGCCACCTAGCTATTACCCGGGGGAG